ATTAAAATTACAAGCAAACATATCAATTAATTGAAACTACTTCCAAAATCACAAATAGAGAAACATTCAAGGATATATACACTTCATAATTGTAAATACACGTATAGTTTCTTAGTTTCTTTCTTTCTTTCTTTCTCTCTGGGTTTGTTTGTTTGTTTGTTTAAACCAGAGATTTAACCCAGGCTTCCAAATGCCAGCCAATGCTCTACCCCCTAATCAACCCTTTTTCTTTTTCTTTTTTGTTTTGAAACAAGGTCTTAATAAACTGTCCAGGCTGGCCTCAAAGAACTTTCAATCCTCCAATCCTTTTCTTCCTCTTGAGTGGCTGGGATAACATGAGTATGCCACCATGTTCAGCTGGAAGTTACTAAAGTCTATTCTGAGCCACTTTGTCAAAGAGTATGTACCAAAGATAATATGTCAGTATATTTATATGATGTTAATAGCAAAAAAAAAAAAAAAAAAGCAAAACAAAGCAGGTATTATTACCTAGATTAGCTCTCTTGGGTACACCCTAGAAAATACATTAAAAAATTATTGGAAATTCTTAAAAAGCCATTTCAATCTTTGTGGTGTAGGATAAAATACAGTGGCAATCACAATTTCTACATATTGATTCATTTTTTTCATATTATATGAGTGAGGTGTAGCATACTTTCAAAAACTATTATTAAATGTGCACTATTTAAAGACAAAACTAATTTCAAATTCGACCATAACTATACCATTTCAGTGTCAATAGACACTGGCACTTATTTTCCTGCACAATAAATGAATCAATTAACAGTGTTCTGATGAGAAATAATCATGCATGGTAAGCATTATTAGAGTGGCTGAAAACATTTTCAAAGCATAAAACAAACACAAAATTAGCAAATAACAGAGCTGTAAACAGTCTAAGCACTGTTTTCTAAGTCTTACTCTGGAAGAATGACTCAGTCACTCTTTTTAAAAATAAAAACCTGATTTCAAATTCCTATCTCCATTCTTTGGAAGCAAAGGGATTTCCATGTTCAAAGTTTATACCACTTTTCCTCTTCCAAAGCCTAAACCTTTTAGGCTCCCATAGGAACAAACTAAGCTTCCTGATCTCTAAATGTATTAAAGCAAACACTATTAGACCCACCAGCCTCTAATATGTTCAGGGACCAGGGCTCATGGCAGCCATGCAATTGGCTTCTCTAACCACCTTTGAATTCATTATTATATTTAAATGAAATAACTTTTTTATTCTTTAGAGGTTTAGGAAGACAAATTACAACACTGCAGATCCAATAACAAACAAATCACTCTGCTAAGTAGAGTTTAAATAAAAATCATCATTTCATTTCACCATGGAAAAAAAAATAATTTTCAAAGGAAAAAAACAGACTTTTATATTAAAATTATCATAGACTATCATTGAACATTAATTTGTTCTTTGAGGGTTTAGAAAAAATACTAATAGTGTTAACCATAAATTCAACACAACTATTATATCACATATACTCCTGCTTTTTATATGTTCATGATAATGTAAAGCCTAATAATAAAAGCTATTAGTAACAATTTTGGCATAATATTTCATAAGAATTTATTCATACACATTCTGCTTTCTGTACTTAATTGACCTTTTCATTTGAAAGAGTTAAGTTAAACATTAATGAGTGAAGCACAGTACATTGAGCTATAAAAACAGGTAATATATTTCACAACATGTGAAACTAAAAATTAAATATTTCACAAGTATCTTGCAAGGATCAACAATTAAGTTCATAAATTATAGATGTCAATATAAACAATAAATGATATGTTGGTAAAATGCTTAAGAAATAAAATAACATGCACAAATCAACAGATCTGAGAAGTTCAGTGCTGAGATCTGAATACAGGACCAACAATTCAAAATAAGCATGGAATAAATACTGGTTGAATCAATAAATAACTGCAAAATCTATCTTCTAAAGTCTTAAGGAAATTGTTGGGCTATTGGGAAAAGAAAGTTTGTAAATCATAAATGTATTTTAGTCTCTTAAGTGTTATTTCTGAGAAGAGAGCCAAATATATTTCTACGAATATATTTATTAACTTCTCCTAAAGACAAAATTGAGCTGAACTTAAAAAATAACTGGTTTCAAATATAAATATAAGCTGAAAGAAATATAAATGAATTTGCTGATTGTTCTTTTCTGTTTGAAATAATGACTCAGCCTTAACCATAACAAAATCTCACCCAACATTCTCAAAAATAAAGTTTATGATTAAATTAAAGCTATTAGCTTTGCAAATTAAATATAGATGTCATCATTACATGTGTATTCTAGATATAAATATTCCTATTTTATCCCCATAAACTTAACTGGAGTCAACTGAGTCAGAAGCCCTGTGGCCTTTATGTCTAAACATTTTTTAACATTATTTCATCTCTTTAATTCTCACAGTAAGCTTGTAATTATGTAAAGGAAAGTTTCTTTACTTTGCAAGTGGAAAAACTGAAAGCATAGTCAAGGAAAACACTTTGCAGAGGGTGATTCATAAAGTCAATCTCAGCAAGCAGGATGATATTCACAACCTCAAACTCAGGAATCCAGATATACAAACCACATTTGTGTTTTTTTACCATTCAACTCCCATGCCCACAATAGTAGACCTACCTCCCTGAAAAGCAAAAAAGGTAGACATGAAATATAAACAACTTTAATATATAAAAAGAAGGGTCTGAATCCCAGATAAGGCTTTGAGTCATGTCAGGTCTGAAATTAGGACTTTTAACTATTGGGCAAATGTGTGAAATACTGACCTTGCCCCAACTTTTACTTCTCCAGGTGAAAGAGCAAGATCTGTTGAGATTACTTCTGAAACACAAGGAAGTCATGCTGGATGTGTTTTTCTCACTTTAATTCCATGACCCAAATCTGTGCTATTTGAGAATATCTAATTGAATTATTCAATTTTGGTAGAAAACCATCTGCTCAAAGCCCAAGTCTTCAGTTCTTACTGGCCATGAAAACAAAGAAGTAAGGTCAAGGTCAAGGGACTGAAGTTGCAGAAAACCTAGTCCAACTTAGGGAGACAGATAGCAACAAAGTGTGAACAATATCATCAGAACAAACAGCATAAGGTCCCCAGCTATTCCACTCTAACACTGATAAGCAAGGGTCAGGCTTCTCTCCTCCAGCCCTTCTTACACTTTTCTCAGTTATGTTCAACTGCAGTCTATGTTTTTTTCTGTTGTTGTTTCCCAAGAAGACTGATTTGGTCACCTAAAAATTTTCATTGTAAAAGAAACCCCTTGTTTAAACCCAAGTACAACCAATAGCACCCTTTCCAATTATCCCCTGCAACTTCCCCAGTTTCTTTCATGCCTGGCTACTGAGCTCAGTCTAGTTTGGCTGCCTGCCAGATTCCTCTCTTCTTTCCTTGTCAGTCGTAAAAACTTGGAAAATACTCCTGGACAGCTCAAGGAGACCTTTTAATTATGCAATGTAGCAGCACCTTAGCCTATCCGGGGTTTTCAGTAAGGCTTGTGGTCACCAGCAACTCCGTTCTTCTAATTGGTGGGTTTTCTAGTAAGGCTACTTGTTTATATGGGGGAAGGAGAGAAAGACTGGCAGTGAAAGGAAGCAATTTGCAAATCTGAAGATTTTACAATTCCTCTCAGTTCCCTACATTCTAACATTCACTCTATCTCCCAATCTGCCCTCCTTTTAGGACCAGATCATCCACGTGATTTTAAAGATACAAAATCATCAGTATCCTGACCTTTTAGTAGCCCTAGAAATTACCAAGATAGCCATAACTAAAACACTCTCCAAAACTTTTTACTCTTAAATGTTGGTGCAACATTTCCTTTAAAAGCGAGCACAACACGAATTTATTAAATCTTTCTTAATCGATTGATTCACATTTTGTCTAACTTGCACACTGAAAGACTGCACGTAAATGTCTGATTGCGATTGCAAGTAAGACAAACTCAGTTGATTAATACTGCTAAGACCCAAAAAGGGGTCCCTGACCTCCAGCCCTCGGAGTTTGCCCAAGGTAGTGGGCCCCGCCAAGCCCAACACAAGCTACGTCTTCCTTACTCTACCTTGGCACGCTATTTCCAGCTGCAGCATCCAGCTTCCTGTTCATGTCCCATTCAACATTGTAAACACATTCCAAGAAACCAGCCTGCCCAGAGTTCCCTCCCGCACACAGGGAAGTCAGCGCGGCAGCCCCAGCAGCCTCAGAATGGAGAACCGACTGCGTTGGCTTGAGATCCGTGTAGTGAGTAAGGAGTGAGGCCACCGGGAGGTGGACCCAGGCAAGGTCTGGACACCCGCTGCGCCTGGCGCCCCTCTAAGTGTAGCGCCCTCCAGCAGAGCTATTTGACCCAGCCAAGGGGTGACCATGTGGACACCGCCCCGGAGTGTGGGCCCTCCCTGTTCTGGCCTTTAAAGTGTCCGCGGCCCAGCCTGGTAGCTTCGCGCCTCCCCGCCCCCATGCCCACATTTTCCCCTGGAGCCAACAAAAGGGAGGCTGCGAAGGAAGAAGTTCTCTCTTAGGTCTCCTCGCGGTGACCTGGTGATGACTTACTTGTCCGCTTAGCCGCGAATGGTCTATGCACCCTCAGCGGCACGGGTCCAACAACCTCCTTCCAGATCCTGTGCACCAGCCCAGCCACCCGGACCAAAGTTACCACAAAAGGCTAAGAAAGGCTTCAGGAGCCCAGAGAAAGCTGCGTCCCCGACCTCGTTGAGCTCCTCCATCATCCCCCAAGCGCTGCCACAGTAGGCGTCAACAGGTCTTAGCCTGCTCTCCTGCCGGACGACTCCCTGCGCTTTTCGCTGTCCTAATTTTTGCAACCTGCCGGGCAGAGGCGACGCGCAGCCCCGCGCCCTCCTTCCCCAAGACGGGTGGCTGCTGGGGCTGACCACCGCCTGCCGCCCCACAGGATGTCTAAAAGATTACACGGTACCTGGTTGGAGTCTGGGCTCGCAGTCAGGGAAGCCCCCTGATCAATCACGGTCTTTCCGTACCTTGCTGAGTGATGCAGTCGGGTCAGGCTTCGGGCAGGGGCGTGGAGAGCTGCTGGGTCTGCGGAGCTCGCCGATCTCCGCTCCCGCACAGCCTGGGCGCCTTTCCGTGGCCGACAGGGAAAGTTTCTCTACGTCGACACCGCGCAGGACTCGGGACCCTCTGGCTCGGGTCCCCTCCCTCTTCGCGCTCTCGGCCCCCTCCCTCCTCTTCCTAATCAGCTGAAGCCTAAACTGGCGCTGGTCGTGCCTGGGGCTGGGGCTGGGGCTCGGGACGCCGGGTCGCTCCCGGCTGGGAACGCGGGGCTCCCCCTCTCGGCCAGAAGGAAACTCTCACAGACTTCGGCTGGAGCACTTCTGTCGGTCTCCTTGGACACTTCCACACGGGACGTCTGTGTTCAATCCGCTGACTTTCTTTCTTTCGTCTTCAATGATCGTTTTCTGCAGGCGCACTGGGCAACCCCGCGTTTCCACGCCGAATGGAGCGGCTGGGGCACAACGTGCAAGAAGCGGGTCTGCAAAAGGAGGGGCGGTACCTTACCCTGTCCTTAGCCTGGACAGAAGCAAAAGCACAATCTCCCCCTCCACCCCCACCCGCGCCGCGTTTCCTTTGAACCTCCTCCCTGAGCAGCCGGATCACGACTGTTTGCCTGGATTTCCTAACACAATTTTAAAACACCTCTGCAGCTTAATAGCGGGGAAAAAGTGTCAAAAGAACAACACGAATATGGGTAAATTATGCCTTCTTCACACCCTTTATCAAGAAAACATTGACACAGTTGCTGCTGCTCTTGCTGTACCACTACAGACTTCTAAATTTTTCTCCTCATCCTTTAAACTCGGTCTAAAGCTCTGAACTTTGTTGTGCCTTTTTTTAAACATGAAAACTGCCTCAACCGCTAAATCATGATTATTGGCTCCATTCAGATGTTTACCTCAGAATTTAGGACTTCTGTATTGGGTTTGAGTGAAAACACTGCTCTGTGGGAGGAAAAGGGAAAGAAGTCTCATGTAAGCGATTTAAGGAGAATAAGAGGACCTTTACTAAAGTTTTTGGAAATGCTTCTCAGAATTTTGTTTACTAAATTTTAGTTTGAATGTAAAAATAGAGAGCAAAAGGGAAGGGGGGGGGGGACGTTTTACAGGTTACCATTTACAGTATGTTACACTGGTAACCAGGGCTTACAGTCAGCCAGATTCCATTGTTGAATCCATCTTTACTCAGTTGCTCTAGGACACTCTACCTAGTTTCAGTTCACAGAATCACAGTCATGTTTACAGAAGTTAAAGTACCATTACGCAGACAAGATAATAAAAATTTGGTTCTTACATTCCTCCATGTTTTACTGTAATTAGAAGTGGATGGGTGATACTGGAAATTTTACCCAAAAGACTCTGTGAGTTTTCTTCTCTCTGAAACTTTCCAATTAAGAAATATACAGCTTCACAATTTTTAAATGGAAATTATGTTTGGGATCACCTAACTCTAACCAAACTCCCTTATTTTGAATATAAGGTAATTGAAGCCCAGTAATCTTAAGTGACTTTTTCCCAAAATTTCATGGTTGGGAAGTATTAAAGGTGGGATCAGAGAATAAGCCTGCGGATACTTTGGCCAGTCATCTTTGTTTAACTATTTTCCCATTTATTACAACAATTAATCATACACTAAAAATTATTATAATGAAAACATTATTGTAAAGGGAATGCTAGGTGCTTTTTCTATAGATAATCATTGAACAATTAATCTATGAATAATCACTGAAGTTTAAACAACATTATTTACATTATCATTTATTATAAACATAAAAAATAAAAACAAATGGTAGTCTAATACTTAGGAACAGGAAGTTGACCGGATGACCAAATTCATTGTATACTTACAAATATGAGGTTTTGTTTTTGTTTTAAATACAATTACTATTGTATTTGCTTTTACTAAAGATTATTCTAATAAAGAATTCTAAATGCCCAAGGATATAAAGGCAAACAACTGGAGTGTGCTAACTTCTTCCTGAGAAATACTAGATCAGTCTTCAATACATATATCTTCACCTAAACTAGTACAGGGCCAAATAACAAATCAGGTTGCAGAGATCAAACATTGTAAATTCTGTCCTATAAATTAATGGAAAAGCTCTTGGTTGGTAGGTATTAAAGCTAGGACTAGAAGTTAGGTCTGTGAATATTTGACCCATGGTCTTCTTATAACTGTTTTCCCCTTTATCACAACAGTGACACATACATTAAAAATCATTTTAATTTAGTTAAATAAAATACACATGTACTTATTCCTTATTTGGATTCCTCTGATAGCTTTAAAGAGAAGGATTTTCAAACACTTTCTCACTGAACTCAACATTGAGAGTTCCCTGGGTTTTTACAGAACTTACTCTTAGATTCTCAAAGATAAGACCCTATGTCCTTCCTCTCAGTAAGAATTCTCTCATATTCCAGTCTGCTCCTCAATTAGTGCTGAAACAACTCCCTGAAGATAGTGCTCAGCCTTTCCTGTAGAGGTCTGTGCTTTCTTTTCATGATACTTAAAAATTATGGCTAAAAAGTGCATCTAATATGGGTGAATGAGTGAGGATACTCAAATCTCTAAACTGACTTTTCCAAATCATCGCATACAATACCAAAAATAATTTTTTACATTTCCTACCAATGTTTAAGATTTCTAGACTTGCTATTGCTTTGTAAATTTTGTGACCTGACTTTTGATATGAACTGCTTTATGAAATGGCTTAGAGGTATAAAATCTCAAGGATGTCAAAACTGAGTTTTTAACAACACTAAAACCAAACAGAACAAGATTTTAAATCAGATTTCTATAGCATGCCCCAGAAAGTGTAGAAAGGATATGCCAAGGAAAGAGTTGCATAAGGCAGGCAGGACAGCACCATTAGAAAATGCCAGTTCTACCTATTGCAAAACATTAGATTTCCATTTGACAATACTTTACATTCATCATAGTTGCACATACGCTGCTAAACACTTGGCAGCCTTCTAATTTTAAAATTAATTTTCTTTCTCATGCCAGTTTGAAATTTCTTTCCTGAACTAAAAGGACATCGACTAAGGCTAAAAACCTCCTATTATGTTCAGAATAAGAATTTTATTGTTGATTATTACAAAAACAAATAACATATGCAATTGTTTAGTTCTGTATTACTTCAAATGTATCATAAGAAATAAAAAACATGATGGAATTAAAAATTCAGTCTGAAAAGGGGGCAGGTTCCCGTGTGTTATGTACAACAATGAGCAATGTCTTTGGTGTTCCTAGGGGGATCTGGGTTCCAGTATTAATAAGTGTTATATTTATTTTCAAACTTTCATCACTTTATCTGTCATTCTAAAAGAACTACTTTATTTTGATCTTTAATTAAGAACAGGAAACATGTGCATTAAAAAAAGAAAATTAGTAGAGGCAAGTGCAAAAAGGAAATAAATATCACCTGCATTCTTCCCACTAAGAGTACCTATTGCTCATATTTACTCTATACCCTCCAAGGTTTGTTGAGGTCCCTGAGAGACTCTCCAACAAATAGCATCCGTTAAATGCAATCTTTCATGATATCTGGGACTTCTTTTAAAGTAATGTTCATAAAGACATGCTACAAAACCAAATCTCTTATATTTTCACTTAGTATTATGTGGTTTTAGTTTTGCTTTCCACTAATTTTCATATGAAGTAGGAAGATAAGGCTTTTTCCTCCCCTCTCCCCAAATAGTATCTAGGTGTCCAACACCATATACTGAATAACCCATCACCTAGTGCTTTTAGAAGTAATTTTTGTCCCATGCTAACTTAGAAATAAAATGTGGTATCTCCCTGCAGAACTTCCAGATGTGGTCAAAAATGCAGTATGAGATGAGACTGCTAAAAAAGGCCCATCACCCACAGAAATTCAGCCGAGATCCCTTGCCATTCAAGCCAGTGGAGCCCTGGAACCTGGAGAAAGAGCTACTTTTCTAGCTACACAGCCATCCTCAGCCCTAGCCAAGGATCTACAGAGCAGGTGCTCTGGGTGGAATAGTTTTGATTTGACAAAGGCACCATAAGAGCTAACAATAGAGTTTTCCCATTTATCTGTGGATACATTCATTCCTACAATAAAACATTATCAATTTTCCCAGCCCATAATTATTTCAAAATATCTATTGGGACACATTCTCCTCATTTTTTCTTCCTCTCTTAAAAAAGTTTCATCATATTCTTTCAAGTTTGTCTTTCCTAATGAACTTTGGAATCACTGTTACGTTTTCTTATCACAGCTTTCTCTTCCCTACCTTTGACCCCAAAACTCTTCTACTAGACTTGTGTTCAGCTTATACCTCAATTTACTTGAACATAGTTCATTATTCAATTTTTTCTTCTGATCTTGCAAGAGGATGCTTTTCCATCTTGTGAAATCTATTCTACACCTATTTGTATTATTTCTTTACCTTCCCACCCCTAAATCACTACTCCTTAAGTGAAAAGGCCATTATCCTACAAGAACTGCAGACACAAATAATACTTGGAACACACAAACACTAAAGTAGGAAAGAGGGAAAGCACAGATCTTAGTCCAGGATCAGCTTTCTACTTCTAGTTTCAGCTCCTGTGTATTCTCTAGATGGTACTGAGTGAATGTCTTTATATGGGGTTCAGCCATAATCAAAAGAGAGTATCTTGGGACCACTTCATGAGAAGACCTGGCTTACTGACCAGGAGTGGTCTCCTGAGGCATGCTGTCCTACCACAACATTTGCAGACCTGGAAAATTTGCTCAAAGCGGTTTCACTGTCATGAAAAATTGCTGCATTTAGAAGATATTTTGTTCATTTGAAAACTCACTTAAAATGCAAAAATAGAACAACCAGAATTTTTGTATAAAATATAAAATATCTTTATATAAATGTTTTATATAAAATATAACATTTTATATTTAATAATAATATCAAATAAAATAAAATAATTATTAAATAATTGTTCCTCAACAGAGTAAAAAGATAAATGGTCTAAAAATGATTTGGGGCTATAGAAAGCTTTTTATTTGAAAATCATGACTTGAAGTCTTTCACTAGAATGCTAATTTCTAAATTCCTCTTCAAAATCCTATATCAGAATTTACCCATGCCTGATGATAGGGACTGAAAGAAAAACGAAGCAAAGCAAGGCACCTATACGCTTGAGCCTGACATAATGTGATTTGGGAAAATGTCATCATGCTTTAAAATGTAAAGGGGACATTGGTCCTATCACAACCTAACAACAAAAGACATTCTCTCACTGAGTATCTTTTTCATTATAGGGGTAAAATTAATTCTAACAGTGGCTTTTCTGTTAAAGGCAAACTGTGGCAAGAATTGCCAGAACTGAGACTTGTCATGTTGATTCTGAGTCAACTATCTCTCTGGCTTGGCAATCTGAGAATATACAGAGATAAAGCTTTATCAGCTCAATGGAAATTGGCTGGTTTACAAAGGGTGTGACTGCACAAGACCATTGTTCAGTTTCAAAAATGAAAGTCTCTCAAAGCAATTTCAAATTACAGAACTCTTGCACATATGCCAATAGTGCAGGTAACGATC